TCAATTGAACCTATCTTTAATTGAATTAAAGATAGGTGTAATTCCATTAAAGATAGGTATAATTTACTTGAACCTAGGTTTAATTATTTAGAGATAGGTATAATTATTTAGACCTATCTTTAATTCATTTAGACCTATCTTTAATTCAATTGTACCTATCTTTAATTCAATTGTACCTATCTTCAATTCATTTGGAGATAGGTACAATTATTTGAAGATAGGTACAATTATTTGAAGATAGGTTCAAATATTTGAATATATGTTAATTTGGCGTTCCATATGAAACCGGTTCTAAATTCAACTACATATACATAAAAAACACATGTTAATGAATTCATATTCACAACCATGGTTGTTCATTGATTGCATAACTTTACATTTAAAAATGTACAATTAAATCAGATTTATTCTTTAAATTAACACGTTTACATTGATATTTGCAATTTGAAATGGACAGTCTGTACAAAATATGAAACACTTTACAGAGGAAAGTCTTGATTTTTCCGAAGAACCTTTAAAATATGCAAGCAATATTTTGTAGTTTATGTGTCGCATATATATAATCGCAATGTTTTGTGTAATATTTATATTAAAATATGTCTCAATCTATAATATAAGTATACATGGTTACACAATATACTATTTAGCTTAGAAATACGTTTGTTTATATTTGGTACAGGCTAACAATACTCCATTTTTTTTTTTAAATTTAATGTTTCTAAAATTTGTAATTTTAGTATTTGGAAAATGTTGGAAGTTTGAGGCATGATTCATGTACATTTTCATGCATTCTCAGTCATGTACAATGTAAGTAGTTAATCTATCCTGAATACTGAGATTTTTTTTATTACAGCTTAAAGTAATTTTTCGCGATTTTCACTGTCTAGTTCACTAAACAGTTAAACAAGGAACTCCGTGACATTTACTTATTTTGTTCAGTAGGGGATTGAGCAGGGTACGGGGAAAGAGGGGTGTTCCGAGCCCCTTCCCCCTTTTTGAGATATTCAGAGTTTTAAATCTATTGTAAATGATATTGTATCATCAATAGTAATAAGAATCCTTCGTAAGTTTGTAATATCATTCATATGAAGAAAATCGACTAGTGCTTAATTCAGAAGTTCATTACTCCCTTCCCCTACTCCCCCCTCAAAAAAGTTACTTTTTTTGGGTTAGTTTGTTTGTGTATATGTGCCTGCAGTGTTTTGTTTTGTTCATCCTACTTTTTTTAAAAACCTTTCCAGTAAGGAAACTAAATAATCTGTCTCTGGTCAACCTGAAAATAAATATTCCGTCCTTTGAAGGCATTGACAGAGGAATAAATAATCTGACTCGAAAAGCTTGCTCCCCCTACCCTCATTCTGTATCAGATGTCAGAAAAATTATGTCGAATTGCCAGAAAATTATGCTTACTGGCAATTGTTAGACTTGTGTGTACAATGTAGATTTGTCGGATATTATGACAAGTTGATATCAGTTAAGGGACAACCATTTTTCCGAGGGGATGGGGTAGGAAGGGGCCGGTGATTTCTGAAAATAAATATTCCGACCTCAAAAATTTGTAATAAGCTATCCTCTGCCAGCAAGAAAATCTGAACTTGACTGGATCCAGGAAAAAGATACAATGGATAAAACGTCCCCTCCCTAGACTTTTGGAATCAGAATGTTTTTTTGGCAAACATTCCCAGTGAGGAGAGGAAATGAATTGTTACCTTGAAAAAAGTATTCATATGTGAAATAAATAATCTGATTCGAAAAAAAATTGCTACCTCCCCACCCTCCACTCAGAATCAAATGGTCCCCTTAGTTACATTGGCACGATTTGATAACAGGATACCGATCGCGAGTTCATAGTCTTGATGATTGTTATCGGACAAGTCGAAATAAAGATCTGACATGTTGACATTAATATCGGACAAGATTAATAAATATCTGAAAAGTCAAAATGAACATAAAATAGTTTCAAAGATACGTTGCCATAACTTTTTGGAAACCTTAGCTCATGCAAAACTGTCCTGGGTTTACAGTTAGTGGGCTGTAAATTACAATAGACGTAGGGAGATGTGGACGATTTTGGGGTCCTGTAGATCATCATTTTTGTAACTGATCCTTAATATCTAATATTATTATAAATTATTACAAATAAATATTATGCGAAAATTTATAAAGCGCTAAATATAATTTTTGAATTACACTAACACAAGATAAAACTGCTCCTTTCAGTAAAATGAATTGTCACTGAAAGATCTGGAAAGATGACTGAATGGCAGAGCTCTGTCAGTCAGTCACCTTTCAGTAAACTTGCAGCAGGGTTGGACGGGAAATACCAGTGATGGGAATTACCAGTGGTAAATACCGGTATTTCCCGTCCTTGTAAATACTACGGTTTTTCTCTAAACTTGGAAATAATGGGAAGTACTGGGAAATACAAATATGTAGCTTTTTTTATTCATTTATTTTACAAAATACATAATTGAGAAACACAGTTAAACTAAAAAGACAAGTTGAATATATCTCAAACTGCAATCCAACATGTATATATCACCGCTCCAGTTTCCTACCCCTAAGCATTTGCAGCAAAACACAAGATTCTCTACAGGTGTCTGTCATTTTCTAATTAGAAGTTCTTTTTACCTTAAGTTTGTAGCATTTTAGGGTAATCAATCCAAAACCCATATAAACTTATTTTAGTTCTTATGTAAACATTGCAGGTATTGCAATCAAACATGTTGCTTTAACAATTTGTCTCTTGGCAGTGGTGTGCTCCTGCTTTTAGAGATAATTACCTTGAGTAGAGCTGAAAGGCCTCTTCTAGTTGTGATATGTATACTACACTCTTTTACAATAAATTAAAGCCTTTTAAAGTTAAAAAAAGAACACCAGTTGGGATCTTTGGATTCATTTATATGGAATTATATAGACAACATCTGACTTGACCAAATGGTGCTGGTTTCTAAGTAAATTGTATTGTGATTAGGGATGTCAACGAATAGTCGAATATTCGACTATCAGTCGAATGGACCGACGATCGACTAATGAAACGACATTCGAATATTATTGTAATTAAATAAATGCAATAAAAGAGTGATAACAAGATGGAATTCTCTTCACAAAATTGAGAAACTGTCTTTCCTCAGAGACAGTCGATAAGATGATTTTTCTCAACAAAAACAGTTGATTTTCTATGTATGTATAGAAAGTACAATAATTATAATTGCTTCACTACTGCGAGAATTATTTGTCAGTAACGGCCTGTGTTGTTTTTGTAATAAATTACCCACTAATATACTGGGTTTTGTTTGTAAAAATATTAATTGGACCTGATCTTATACCATGTACCAATTATCTTTTATGTCAAGATTTCTCAAATGCAAGGAGGAATCCATAGCTATGACGTGTTTTGACACATCGATAATTATTAATTTTTAAACTGTTTAAGGACATTTTGATAACCAGAGCAGTCAATAATTGAATAAGCAGTATCTAACTGTTTAACAATTTCATAGGCACCTGACATGTAAATAATTTGAGATTACCCCCCCCCCCTCCTCTCCCAATTTATTTCATAATAGGCTTTAAAAAAAATACCAGCTTGCAATTTTTTAAGTTTACTAAAATAAAAATTTAAGAGCATGTACAGACCAATTAATGATTTCGATTGACGGGAAAATCATACACTTTGGAGAATTAGGTTTCTAAATTTATTTCATATAATCATACTATCCACGCGTTTAGGTTGCATTAATTTTGATGAAATATATTTGAGTAAAAGGATTTTTGAGTTATAAATATGTTACGTACCAGTAGAGTTTGAAATTTTCTTTTTTTTTCAGAAAATTTTCCGAATATTCGACTATCGTTCGAATAATGTACTCGAATAATCGACTAAGGTAAATTAATATTTTGACATCCCTAATTGTGATTATTAATATATGAAAGATGCATTACTGGGTAGCAAGAAATTTTTAACACAAATACAAATTGTCACAATGATTAGATACTTAAGCTAATAAATTGCACATGTCTATACCTAACATATGAATAATGTAGCTATACCATAAAGTTATACTAAATTTCACAGTCATTCCCGGGAATTGCCAGTATTTCCAACAGTCCTGGAAATATGAGTATTTCACATATTTTTGCCAACCTTGACTTGCAGTCACGTTTCAGTAAACTGTATGGCAAAGTTTAATCCTGTGTAAAGCGTTGTGTAGTGAAATATACAAGTTGATATGATAAACATAATTTAAGAACAAAGAGTAAATAATCAAATCTATTTAAAACATGTTTGAAATCATAAAATGACAGTTATCCGGCATATATGCAATTTATGTTTAAAAAATAAATAATTAATACTGTTAAAAAAAAGAAAGTTATGTCATAACTAAGGTTGTCATGGACAACCGTGGCCTCAAAAATGAAAAAAAGGTAATCGTATACTAATCAATAATGTACATACATGTATATGTTCGGGATGATATCAAATCTATTTTCATTATTCTGGAAAAATCGAAATTTTGAAATACAGATAATAATGAATGTAGATAAATCACGTAAAACTTAGAGTTCAAAGCAGATCAAAACTCTGCACATGGTTTGATCAATGCTCAACAGGGTCAACTTTCAACATCTATAGGTCATCAGAGATTAGAAAAAATACAAAGCTGCTAAAATTTGTAACGGAGCATAAACTTTACGATTTTAAGTCTTGATTTTCAACGGAGAAAATGCACACCTGGATGAATATTCAACGTTTAAAAAAAAATGATCCCCGGGTCAATTTTTAATCCAGGTCAATATTCTACGTTACATCAGTAAGAAGAATTACAATGCTGTGCAGGCGACATACAAAGTGCATAAAAAATATAGTATTGCCTCGTAGTAAAATATGCATGAACAATACGAATCTAGATCAATAACGTCTTCATCTGCCTTCAATATTAAATATCAAATGAATATTTTAGCAAAGTTAGTTGAAGCTTGACTTAAAAGATTCAGGGATGATACACTGTAGGTTCTTTCTAAGTGCTATTTTCTTTAGTGTTGCTTTTACAAGTGTGTCCCTGAAAGACGGTTATGATAGTTTACAATGGGGTAAGCGACTCGTGGGAAAGCTTCTGACCACTATCGCTCAAGCCAGTCCGTTAGATTGTGCCGAGGAATGTCTTGTTCGTCCAGGATGTCTCTCTTTTAACTACAAACGGGCTGCAATATTTTGTGAGTTGAATTATGAAAATGACACTAGATCTAATACGAGACTTAAAGATGGAGATGGCTGGATCTATGGTCAAAAAGAGCATTGGCCTATTGTAAGTTTTCTTTCTTTTTATTTATTTGAATATCTTTTTCATTCGGTTGCTTTAAACAAAGAGAACTCAGAGAGAGAGAGAGAGAGAGAGAGAGAGAGAGAGAGAGAGAGAGAGTGAAACGAAATTTCGAATATTACAATCCATTTTCTCATTTTTGCTTTTAGGAAATAACAGAGGAATGTAAAAACATAAAATGTGCACTTAACCAGAAATGTATAAGGAATTCTTACCTTTCCACAAGATGCGAGCTGGCACGTATGTGGACATCTTTGTATCATTTGAATTATTATTATTTTCTGAAGTTGTGATTATTCAAGAAGCATAAGTAATCTCTTGGTTTTCGTTTTTCCAAGACAAGATAGAGATTAGACGTGAAAATGGATCACAAGATGAAAATTATCTTGTATTTGCTTAAAAGTGACTTACATTGTAAAAGCAATCAAAGCTGCAGCTTACATGTATAGTTCTTTTAAGAAATATCTTAACTTCAATTAACGGTTTAAAACTAGTTATCGTTCCGCAAACCTAAAAGGTCGCTAAACAAACTTCAAGCCATCTTTGTTATTTGCTTATTTTGTCTCCAGTTATAACCTCTCGGTCATATTTGAGCATGACGCGCCAAGCAATAATAACCCCAATAAACTAAGAATTTTGGCATTTCTAGCTTTTTTTTTTATTGATTCGAGACTATAGAATTTTTCTTTTTCTTTGTAATGATATTTAATATATTCATATATTTCTACATGTTAAGGCTATAAAAGATCGCATGAAAATGAAGGAATATGTACTTTAACATGCATTGACAGCACTAATAATCATAACGTTGTGTGTATAATATACCGTGCAGCGTGGATGTGGATATATTTAAATTGACAATACTTATGTACTTCTAGTATCTCATTTAGAGGCTGTGATATTGACATAGACATTTATGTTGTCTCTGGGGACCACGGATCTTTCAACAGTCAGTTGGGATTTCTGTACTGACATTGTGCTCCTTTGTTAGCCTACCTGTTTTAATATTCCTGGAAAGCAGAATTTATATAAAATCTTTTACATAAGAAGAAGAAATCACTTGACGTGTCTTTCAACACCGACATTCAGATTACATCGACGAAGTTTTATCAATTAACAATTTTTACTTCCAATTAATTATCGACTAGATATGTCCCAATAAACTCGAATTAAAGCCTACCACTGAGTCTGTCACATCTGTTTCATATTTGAATGTTTTACAGCCGAAATGACTTCAACTTTTCAATCGTCAAATTTCGTAATTTATGTAGTAATATCCCACTATCACTTGCATATGGTGTTCATGACTCCTAACTTATTCGATAGCATGCTCTGTTTTCATGTTCATTTTTTAAACCAAGTAGAAGGAGGACGGACAAAAGACGGACATGACAACCTCTATTTAACCCGGCCATATTCATGGCGGGGTATAATAAAACCCGTATTACCTTTTTTTAGATTAGTATTGTAAACTATGATGATACATTAATCTTTTACTCTGATTTTGTGCAGGACTGTACTACCGGTAGGGGGAGGCAGACCATTTTTTTTCGAGAAATGCCTTTTGCTGTAAATTTACTATAAAAAATATTACATTTAAAGATCACAACACATACCGCCCATCCCAATTCTTGTCGCAATAAGTTTGAATTCTGACACATTATTGTATTAAAAAAATAATTCCCCCCCCCCCCCCATCACGGTAGCTTAGTCGTTAGAGCGCTCGCTCTTTGATCGGAAGGTCTTGTGTTTGAATACGGCCGCGACTGACCTAAGTCGATAAAAGAATAGGTAACAACAGTTACTGTTCCTTCACCAAGAGCTCGGCACTTTGAAGTGAAAGTGGGGGGGGGGGGGGGACTTTTGGATGAGACCGTTTTTGCTTGTCAAATATTTTTGCCCCCCCCCCTCCCCAACTTTGATTGATTGTATATTGTTCTGCGTATAATTCGAGAATTGTTAACTCAGAGACCTAACCTTCAAATTCAGATATTTTTAAAAATTTTTAATCGGCACTCGGGGCTTTCGACCATTGAGGGTTCTTTATCGTACCATCGCCTACATTGAAAGGAGATCGTGATTTCTTATGTCTCATCCGGAAGACCTGTGACTTTTATTCCTAGTGTTGGGTGCTTGGCAAAGAAACAGTCGCTATCTATGTTTGCCTGTTAGGTTTTGTATGAGAATCGAACCATGCCAGATCTACGGATCAGAAAGCAAGGCTTAGCGCCCTTGCACTAGGCTACTGCGAACGGTCCCTATTTTGAAAAAAAAAATTCACCTGACCAGTATTGAGTATACATGTACTTGTACATGTAATTATTTATTACGATTAAACTTATCCATGGTTTGAAGTGCACAAAATCAAATTAAATAGGTGAAGATAATGAACACTAATCGATCTAAAGAAGGTCAAATCCCATTCCTAGAATTGCAAACAATGCAAGACTGTGAACAGAACATAAAACACGGACCCCTGGAAGTCCCAGAGGCGGGATCGGATGCCTAGGAGGAGAAAGCATCCCCTTTCAACAGGTCATCACATCATCCATGAGCCATATGTATTGCTCATGATCAAGTAATCCGTGGTCAAAATTAAGATGAAAAAGAAAACCCTAAGAATTTTTATGAAATATATCTGTTGAAATACAACCCAATGTTGGATAACTGACAAGGTCATTATAACGATCATGAAATTTACCAGGGTTCTCCATGGGCCGTTTAACGTGGCGATCCCGCCAAAGTTAAATTCCTTAGCAACACAGTTAAAAAATAAGTGTCATAATTCCGCAACAGTTAAATTTTATCTCCACATTACATGTAAGATCATCGTTGATGTATAAATTTCTAAGATCATTGTCAATGTAAGAATTTATAATTTTCAAAATGAACTTCCAAATTATGTACCGTTTTCAGTTTCTAATTTTAAACCGTTATTGTACTCTAATTAGTGCACATTGTTTGGCTCGCACAATCAATTATGTTTTAGAACTTGCTGTACTGTACGCATGATTGATTGATTATTATTGTTTTACGCCGAGTAGGCGATATTTTAGCCATATTTCGGCGGTATGAATTTAAATATTGTAGGTTTGAAAGTGTTAGGGTTTCTCTGGCGGCCCCCAGTGAGTCTACTCTTTTTCGAAAACCAGAGAAACGATCTTTAGCGTGCCAAGGGGGTTGCTGCAATCCTTGACACGGGGCACCAATCAACATCCCATCCGACGGACATCGCGTAAATGAAAACAGACAAACATTTTTTTTTTACACTTCCCGGTAATTGCATATGAATTTTTTTTTATACCAATTAATTACTTAGCTAAAATACTATAGCTAACCACGTCTGAAAAAGTGCATTTACACTCCAAGTAAATCTTTGTACGCCTACCGTAATCATGTATCGATGTCTATTGATGTAAATTTGAAAAATTAAACATAGATCCATTAAAATAATATTATATGACTCTAAACTGCTAAAGCATTTTTTTCTTTCAGTTCTCAAGGTTTAAGATACTTTAGTCAATTGAGACCAATAATGGCTTTATTCAGTTAGCCAAATTATTCACAACATTTTTGGATTAAACTTAGTCTAGTGATTCAGAATTACGAGTTGCAGGATTTTAAAAGTTTTTTTGGTGTTTCTTGGTGAATTCAATCGCGAAATGACCGCGAATATTAGCACTTTGCGAAAGTCTTGCGCTACAATTAAATTCGAAATGATGAAGAATCCTGATTTACGAAATGCTGTTTTTAAAGAATGTTGTTGAATTACCTCTAGTAGTGTATCGTCAATTTATCTGTCAGTAGCTTGCTACTTCCGTCTCGCTTTGCATTTAGCGCAGTTCAAAGCTCAGTTTTAAAGTTATTTTTTAAGTTTTTATCAAACTTCATATGCTGATACATGTTGATGAGGGCTGTATAAACATTTTTGACCTTGACCTATCTTTTGACATTGATTTAACTTTTCTTAAATAAGTGTTTGGCTCAGTTTTAAAGAAACTATTCAAGATATTTTTATCAAACTTCATATGCTGAAATGTACTGAAGTGCTATTCAACTTCATCGACATTCTTTTTTATCTTGACATTTCCTGGACTTTGCATGACCTCACTTTTCTTAAACTAATGTTTAGCTCATATTTAAAGAAAGCATTCAAGATAGTGTAATTGAACTTTATATGTTTATACATCTTGATGTACGCTATTCAAATGCATCAACATTTTTGACCTTGACCTTTCCTTTGACCTTGATTTCACTTTTCTTAAACAAGTGTTTGACTCAGTTTTAAAGAAACTATTCAAGATGTTTTTATAAAACTTCATATGCCGATACGTACTGAAGTGCTATAATTCAAATTTATCAACATTTTTTTATCTTGACCTTTCCTTGACTTTGCATGACCTCACTTTTCTTAAATTGGTGTTTAGCACAGATTTTAAGAAACCATTCAAGATAGTGAAATAAAACTTCATATGTTGATACATACTGATGTACGCTATTCAAATGCATCAACATTTTTTTTACCTTGACCTTTCCTTCTCCTTGACCTCACTTTTCTTAAATATATGTCTCGCTCAGTTTTGAATAAACCATTCATGATATTTTACCAGATTTAATACGCTGATACGTACTATCTAGTGAGAGCTATTCAACTGCATCAAAACTGTTGACCTTGACTTGAAGTTATTTTTCTTAAATTATGCTTAGTTTTAAAGAAACCATTTTAGATATTTTTATTTAAGCTTAGCACTTATACACTGTACAGAATTTGGTGATAATTCATCATCTATATCCATTTATTTTAGATTTTAATTTCAGTTTTAAGTAACTATACAAGATAATCTCATCAAACTTCATACACTAAATTAAATACAAAGTTTCATGTTGCATTACCAATATACCCTCGGCGAGACATTCATGTCCTATGGACATATTTCTAGTTTTCTATGTATAAATAAAACTACTTTTAACACTTGTCTCAATTAATTTACATGCATTAGTTTCGAATGTGCTAAAACGGAGAAATGTTTTTGAAAACTGAAGCCCACAAATGGCCGCATCAAGCCAGGTTTAAGTTTTTCTAATGTAGGTCAAACTCCAAGGTCAAAAGTTCAACAATGTTGATTCCAAAAAAAAAAGTCTTTTCACGAGGAATGCATTAGTGAAATATAATAGCCCTTACCAACCATTCAAGAAATATGGCCTTGACTTTTTTTTCTCAGAAAAGTAGGTCATACGTC